CGCAGAATGTATCATATATTTGCATAGCGATTGAATTTTTTGATAAATCATTGTTTACTGGTAAACAAAATTACAAAAACCTGCGGAGGTGCACACATAACGGCGGTCCGCAATGGGTTAAAGCCGAGCCGCCTCCAGCCGTCGTGATCACTGCCTTGAAGACAGTCTGCACAGTCTGGAACTAGAAAATCGGGAGCATCTGCAAAAAGAGTTATATGCGTATCGAACCTGAAATCGAGGCGCATAAAAGCGGGTCGTTATTCTCGTATTCTCTCGATCGATTCGTATATAGTCCTTGTCGGGACCCATCCGGCCTAGAGCAGGGTCGTCCTGATGCAATTTTTTAGTTCCCATTCCCACACACTTGCGGCTATTGCACTACACCTATTGCTCATCCTATATCAGGCCACACCTCACTCTGTGCCTTCCACTTCCCCAAGAGCCGGTCAAGTAGAGAGGAAGGGGAGGAGTGCTGTGCGACACAGTGTTAGAACTAAAAACCTCTATTCAACTAAACTTCTGAAAATTGATAGTCGCTCATCCCTTTGGACGAGCCTTTCAACGTACATCCAACAAGGCCATCTACGCCCGCCCGACTTGCTAAAGTCTCTGTCACTAGTTTTTGTTTGCAATTCGACTGTGAACCAGTTACGTCTCGATCATATGGTCGCAAGATCGTACGAGATACGTTACAGTTCCACAGTTTACCTGCAAGGTCGCAAAGTATGACCGCGGGCTAACGGGCGGTTGCCTTCTTTTTAATAGCTTTGTTGTGTGTGTGATACAGAAGATGACTTTTCCAGTGCACAGTACAAATTCATTCTGAAGTGGTTTTTCGCTCCTCATCTGCTGATATTGATATTCATGTGGGCTAAGGTGACTATTTTCAAGATTTTTTTTAAATTCATCAATTCAAGTAAATGTGGAAACTCTATATCATTGTTATGCACTACATTGCTGGTTTCTGTGTTAAGGTTGGAAGTGAAGTCTTACGGAAAGAATTTGGTTGGAAGAGCGCTTTCTTTGAGAGACTGGATATGCCTTCGGCCTATCCATGGGAATACGTTTGGTGTTTTTCTTTCATTCCAATCATTTGTGCCATGTTGTCGTTCTCAAAGAATAGGGCAAGTTGTTTACTTATGCTTTTTTATTGATTGAGGCTGCCAATGGTGATGCTTGCAGGTGAAATTGATTAACTACCACTATTATGGACATTTTCTTTTTGGAATCTTGCCATGTATGATTGGTTTGGGTGGTCAGCTTCCGGAACTTCTTGAGTATATGAATGACCAAGAAAATAGCAATACACCTACATTCAAGGTATAGATAATTTTGGTTCCATATGAATTCTCATTTGCATTGGTTTCATTTCGTCCGATATGATCTCCAGTCCGTTTCTTAGGGAGTATTTCCAATGGTTATCATATGGTACGTGTTCTTCGCTGTTGCTCTTCAAATCCACGGATTCGCTATGTACTTTTCGTACCATCTAGCCGCGGCTTGGACACCGATGAAACGGGACTAGCTGAATATGTTGTTAGAGGACTTTTCACTTTGTTCATGAAAGTCTTATTGTTATTTATTAAAGATACGCAGTTCTTGCTGACCCAAATTAGTTCTGGTATAGCTTGGGGCACCTTGAATTGTCATTCTATCATTGTTACTGGACTGCCTGAAAGGTTCGACCAGAAGTGTTGTTTATTGCTATACTGCTATGTATGTTAGAGATTTCTAAACCATATACAATTCGCTTTTTTTGCTTTTCCTTTCATTCGTAGTATTAATTCTTTAGTTGACAATCGGCCATATACTTGCTATGTGGTTCTATCAACTTTTAATGAATCCTTTCAACAATTATCTTGTTAATACTGGAAAGCGCTGAGTTATCGCTAGTGTTTTTCATATAACTCTACCCCTGTGATTTCGTTGCTTCTTTTGAATTTTCGTTGAACAGGATGTGGGGTTGCGGCTTCGATGAACATGACGAGGAATCTACTGATCTAGCTGTCATCAAGCAGCAATTCATGCATGAACCAGTAATAAGCTCTTTTGCTTTTCCACAACCTCCCCTGGGCATACAGGTGATTCTTGCTTTAACCTTATGCTGCCTACGACTTTACAAGATTGGCAATTTCAGGCGAAAGACTTTGTGGCAACCCATTTTGGTAAGGATGCCAAGAACATGCAGTTCCGGAAGGGTACAACTACTCTCGCTTTCATTTATGAGCCTGCTACAGCTAATGACAAGGGTGGAATTATCGTTGCTGTCGATTCACGGGCATCTTCTGGAGAATATATCTGTACGTGCTATCGCATATTTTCTTTTCATCATGTAGGGAACGCGTGTGATTAACGATCGGCAATTTTCCCGTTTTCCGTCGCACGAAGCTATCTCGCTGCAAGAATCGTAGGTCCATTCTAATCAATGATGGCTGGGTTGCGGGGCGGAATTTTTTTGTGGCTGCGAAAAGGGAAGATTTGATTTCTACGTATGTGGCCAACCTACCCAAACAAAAGCTCATTTCCCTGAATGTAGTTACGACTTTGTCGAAATTTTAGACGGTTCTGAATGAGACCTTTCAAGCTCGGCAGAAATAACACATGCACAAAACGTGTTTTTTAGCTTCGAAATCAGTTATGAAGATTTTGGATATTGGTGATCGTATGGTCGCTACAATGGCCGGAGTGCCTGCAGACTGCCAATTTTGGACCCGAACTGTTGCCAAGTACTGCAAGTAAGTTATGACTTAGCCTTGCATTCTGAAGCGGTGTAATCGTGCAATGGTGATTCAGCCTGTTTGAACTACGGGGAAAACTCAAATTACTGTGAGCGCTGCCAGCAAATACTTTGCCAATGTTCTTTATGGATACCGTGGCATGGGACTATCTGTGGTAAGTTTTTTGTGAGTTTGGCTCTTTTATATTTCATGTAGCTGAGTCATTTTAGGGTTCGATGATTGCTGGTTATGACAAGAGAGGGCCGCAGATATTCAAAGTGAGTTGGCACGGCTTCTTTGCTACATTTTGTGCTTGTGCAGGGATGTCGACTGGGCATATCTCAATGAATATATCAATTTGTGTGTATTTCTGTTGCCTTTTGTATTGAATCTGAAAGAATGTCCATTTAGGTTGATAGTGACGGTGACAGGTGCCAGTTGCACATGTGTAGCGTTGGTTCTGGCTCTTTGAATGCTTATGGTATCCTCGACACACATTACAAGCCAAAAATGACTGACGAAGAAGCTCTGAAGTTAGGTCGCCGGGCAATCATGCATGCAACCTACAGAGATTCTGGGTCTGGCGGCGTGTGTAATTGTGAGTCATTTGATTTCTTTTATCAATGTGTTGTTCACTTTAGCTGCGAGTTTTTTTTTACCATTAGGGTGGACGCGCGAGCGAGGCCGAGAGGATATTGGCTTCGCTGCAGTAACGCGATAATGCCGCAGCTCAAGTTGCGCGAGTGGCCTTCAGGGAGGCGTTTTCAAATTCACCCGCAAGCGTAAGCAAATACCATCGGTGGCGGCTTTTGGCCGCGGGCCCCACACCCAATGTGTGACGAAGTTCGGCGGAGGCGTTTACTTGCTAAGCTTTTGTTCACATTCGATCTTCAAGGGGCAACGGCTTTCAGTTCAGTTTCGTGGCCAGTTATTGGCCAGCACGGAGAGATAAGGGGCTGCAAAAGGGTTTCTTCAGGTTTTTTGGCACTAACAGCGTCAAGTCAGCTGTTTTTGTAATTATACTACGACGGTCAGAGTTCACGAATGCATCACGTCGAGCTTTTAGACACTCGGTAGATCTTCGTGCAATTTGCTAGCGATTGGTCGCAAATTGTGACATCCGCCATGTTTCAGAATGGTTGCTCCATGTACCTTAAATGCGAAAATGGGTGTTTGAAAAAAAAACTCACTCGCCCATTTTTTGACTCCTAAAGCATATTCTTCAACTATTTTTATAGATATTATGGTTACCTTAATCAGCCGTGCAGAAATTGTGTGAAAAGTAGAAAACAGAGATCTTCGAAATGTTTGAAGCGTTGTCTCAGTAATTCACTAATACTTTTATCCCTTAGCATTCTTCGCAATTGTTCTCATACAGCATGGAAGGCTCACAGAACTCGACAACACTCGATGTACTGTAAGTGATGTAAAAACTTTTTCCAGTGGTGCACATCACTCCAACCGAGAAACATCGTCTTCCACCGATCGATGTGAGCAAGTTGTGGTATGAGTTCTCGGACGAACTTGGTCGTGACATTGTGTATGAACCTCGTGATGATTGATCGCATTTTGTGCAGCTATCCTCAAATGTGGTAGCGGCTCAGAAATATTGTTCATCCAACTGGTTTTCTCTTTGTCCTAATCTTACGCGTTTTGCAATTATTTTTGGTAATTCTGAGGATTATCACTTTTCCTTTCCTGTATGTGTGGTGTTGAAAGCCTGATATCTTCGTTGTAATAAATTATTCTCTAAGCATCTTATCCATTCGATTATGGGACTCTCCAATAATGCTGGTCAAACCCTTTTGAGCATTGCACCAAATCTTTTGAAAAGGCTCAGTTTCTCAGCGACTGAATTTATTCAGCTGCATATGGACGAGTTCCTTTCCTTATGTGATGCAGAAGAAGATGTGGACTCTCCTGAATGCGATTCGTTCGTAACAGCGCCTACCGAATTGACGCTGAATAGGTAAAGTGAACAGTTACACAGAAATCACAGTTTTGGTCCGTTCGATGCTCATGTTTCGGCAGTTGCAGAACGGATGATCTGTCGGGATTTGAGTCGTTTCTTTCGGCACGATCCATTATCTCCACTGCTAACGAAGCACATTCTGCCGATGTTTCCCATGATTCATCACATCATGAAAGAACATTGACCGAGGAAGCAATTCAGTGTATGTGATAAGCATGTAAAGATGGGTTGCCTTGAGCTACTACAGTCTTGTGGCTTTTTTTCTAGCTTTGATAGATTTAATATAAACACACACAATATACATGGTAGTAAGGTAGTTAATACTCCTGCTTTGAGAAGTCATAATCACTTCAGCAAGCATTGAAGAGCTCGATAGAAAGAGAAGGGAACTCATCGTGCAAGCACGGGCCACAATTTTCGGTGACGACGCTAAAGTGGATGAAGAAGAGAGCAAGAAATCTACATCGACATCGAAAACTGGTGGGTATGGGGTGGACTTCGTTCATAGAATTCTTGTTGTTTCACTCATAGAACTTTCAATGTAGGTCCAAGACTTGTGGACTTGGATTTTGATCCTGCTCCAACCAAAGATGAACCCTGTTCGTCGAAGCAGATTTTGCTGAATTCTGATATCAGCGATGACGAAATGATGGACAACAGGAAGTATGTTGATTTCCTATGCGATCTGGTTTGTCTAGCTAATGTCAGCGGCAAATGGTTTAAGAGATCTGAGCGAATCTGGGAAGCAACTTCAAAGGCAGCTCGACAAGCAGGATAGAGAACGGCCCCCTTCGCGAGGACGGCTCGTCTCACCTACTCCGGTAATCCGTCGCATCATCAGCTTTCATGTTTATTGAATTCAAAGTCTTCCAAAGGGCGCGATGATCAGTATTTCCAGATATTAAAGAAGAAACCCAAGGAAACAGTGTTGTCAGGTGTCGAAAAGAAAGAAAATGTGGGAAGTGTGGCGCCAACACTCTTCGATAATTTTTTCCGTCTGAATATAAGGTTCGAGATTTCTTTCGGCATACTTTTCACAATTTTATTATTTTACGGAGAACTCACTTTTTTAGGAATCCTAAAATATCGTCTTCTACTTTCGAGTCCTACACAGATGGCCATAAACGTTTCCGTGTCTCCGATCTCAGACCAAATGCAGTGATAACAGGTCAAAAATCTTCTTGTATGAAATTTACTGCTGATCAATAATTGGGAGGGGTCTCTACTTCATTCTCTGAGTCGTTGTGACTATCAAAACTAATTTCTGTTGATTTTGCGGCCAAATAAATTTAGGCTGTGTATTGCACACGTTTTTTATTCTGATAATTTCAGCCGATAGCTGGACCACCGCTGGTGTCGTTGTCAATCGCGAAGTTAGGAAAAGTGCTAATGGTAAAGACTACCTTATATGGAAGCTACACGATTTAAAGGTAACTATGAATACTATGACATTCTGATGGGTACCGCACGCTCCATAAATCTTCTGAGAAAACAACAACAATGGTGTATTGTTCCTAATTATGTACGTTAAGGATTGCCAGCAGGCACCTGTTGTGGTGCTGCTTTTTGGTGAGGCCTACAAAGAGTACTGGAAATTGCAAGCCGGAATATGTGTTGCGCTAATGACCCCAACGTTCGCTGACAGTGATAGGAATTCGAATCCTAATTTGGATAAATTTAAGCCACAGGGTCAGTTGAAACAATAATCATTATCTGCGCTACTTGATGGTTCCTCAAATGAAGAAGTTCCAGCAGCACGTGTCACGCTGAAGGTCTTCAAGCCTGCACAAGTTGTTGAGCTGGGTTACTCTAGTGATCTGGGCATGTGTAAGGTCAGTTATTCTTTATGCGAGCATTTTATTACACTCGCTCTAGTACATCCGAACGATTAATTTCAGGGGGTGAAACTGGACGGACAAAAATGTGGTAATTTTGTTAATACTTCATTGTCGGAGTTCTGTGTACATCACGTCATGAAGGAAGCACGAAAACTATCAGCAAATCGAGGTAGACAATTATATTTCTATACTCTACATGTTTTTGTCCAAACGGGAGCAAAACTGGAACTTTTCCCTCAAAATTGGACGGGGTCAACTCTTCCATTTTAAATTGGTTTTCATCCACAGGAAAAGTAGTTCTGTGGTTGCAATATTTTAGCAGACCACATCGGTTTCGTAATCATCATGTTACTTTCGTTATTCTTTCTCTGCTCAGAGCGCCTTTTCAAAGGCATAACTTAGATGGAGTGAGTGAAGTGTTGCGAATAACCTGAAGAGGGCAGGGTTAGCAGACTATGCGACATGGTGCGTCGTTGTGACAGTAGACGCTTCAGAATCGACACTATTAGGCGCCAAACGCTGGTCAGTGCGCTCCGCTGCTCCGTCCACCCACCATGGTAGCATCGCATGATCTACGTCATCTCGTTGATCTTACGCTCTCTCGTCTCGGAACCTTCTTTTCTTTCTCGGTGGTCATTGTCTCTCATCTTACTGTCTATTCTGTAAAACCATAGAAAGGCTCTTATTTCTGGATTTTCGAGTGTTTGTCTTCATTCTTCTTAAGTAGCGGTCCACTTCGCGCTCCCGCTTCTGATTATGGAGCACTCTTCGCCCCACTTAAATTGATCCTAGAACGTTCCTTGAAGGCACGAATTTCCAATGTCATAATGCAGTCAATTTGAAATGGCTACAGTTAGAATAATTCAGGGACGTTCAACAGCGTCACGTCACAACCACCTCCTAAAAAGACTAACTCTGGGTTGTACTGCAACTCCATCAGGTATAACTAATAAATCTTTTCATTTTCTTTTATTTTTTAAAGCAAAACGAATTTATTGCTAATAAATGCTGTAGAACACAAAGAGCCACAAAATTTCATTCCAAAAGAGTTGTATAGGATAGGAATAGAGTAGAATATGTGTAATATTAATGTTATATTTTCTGCAATGTTCAGAGCTGGTTTGTCGGGAGGGAATGGATTCGCCAATCCACCTATTTCAAGTAACATTCGCCCCACTCAGAGTAATATCATTAGATCGTCCGAGCTCAAGACAACAACGAAAACTGAAGAAAAGGAAACTCTCAAGGAAAAATAAATGAAAGGGTAAGTTTTGTAGAAGTGCATTTCTGCGATAGCAATGTTTATACATTTGCTTTCGGAAGTTGTTATTAGCCTGTCTGTAATTGTAAAATTTAAAGATATAAGCCTCGTTTACTTCTGTCATCTTGATTCTTCTTTAGGCTCAAATGTTTGGTGCTCGAAACCTGAAACTTCTCAAGGATTCGAAGAAAGAAGGATCTGGGAAGTCAGTTTCGAGTGTCGCTACAAGTTCAATGGCGGATTTCATAAAGAGCCAAGCGGTTGGTCAAATTCATTAGCCGTCACCCAAAGCGACATTCTTCTGTGCTACCTTTTAAGGGTTCTTCAAATGGTTGTGCTTTACATGCTCCGAAACTGGGATATGGCCTTTGTGGTGAGAAGAATATTAATCTTGGTGTGACATCTCTAAAAGGAAGAAGTGTGTCAACAAATGATCCAGCCCGGGTGAGCGCAAATTTTTGACACCTTTAATGGGTCGCTGGTTGTTCAACGTGTTTATTAATTGCTGCATATTAGCTTCGCGCAATTTCAATTCTAAAGCGAACAAAGGAGCAGTCTACTTTGGAATCCAAGTCAGCAAAAAGGCAAAGGGGTAATTTTATCCACCTGCTATTTCTTGTCCTAGCCATAGCTGTCTGAGACGTGTTGTATGTTCAGAAGACTCGAGCGAGGCCGCTTCCTCTAAACGATCGAGGCTTACTCCTCTTGACAATAAAGTTGATCTTGATGCACTTCTCAAGAAGAAGAGTATGAACGACTCACAAGCAAACAAGGTGAATTACTGTTGGAAAAGATATGCAAGAGTTCCTGAAAACTATGTCTTTTTTTTATTGACATCGCACCTTTCAGGCTCAAGGAATCATGGCTCAGAAACACCTGGACGCGTTGGAAGCAAAAGAAAAAGTTGAGACTTTTGTCTCTGAGTGCATGTCGGTAAAAGATGTGAAGGTTGTTAGCTGTAAGAAGGTCAGTTCTTGAATGATTTCTCATGTTATTGGTCTGGTTCTATAATGAAGACCTGTTTGGAATGAGTTCCTGATCTCTGATCTGAGTAAACGTTTTTCCTGGCGTGCATGTAGAAATGTAACCGTGTCAGAACTTATGCAGGGGAATCGTGGGTCACTAAAAACTCTTTCTGGCCTTGCTGCTATTGCATTCACATCTCACACTTCTACTCCATCCTATTCTATCGATCGATTTGTCTCTACTCTCCAAAATCGCACGCTTTAACCCGATTCTTTCATTGCGTCGCCTGATACGTAGCGCCCCAGTGCGGACTTTTTCCATGCCCCGCCTTTGGCTCCGCCCGAATTACCTTCGATTGTCCATAGAATGGATTTTCGTGAGTTTGTTTCTCTTCGGAAACCGAATCTTCATGCGTGAAACTTTGTGTGCTGCATCCTAGTGATCACAACTGACACATTCATGTTGAGAAAGAATGCAAGAATTTTCCGCGAAGGATTCCTTAACGTTGTTCACGGTTTGTATATGCAATTCACCTTTAATTGAAATGTATAAAGCAGGCATTTAGGCGCCGCATTTAGGCCTCAGAAGACGACGATTTTGTCGAAACGTTAGGCCGAACTGATAAATGTTCCACCTATAAACCTCGTACGGCACAAACAACTAACACAAATAAGAACAAGGATGCCGAGGTTAAAAGAAGAAGAGAGAAATTGGGGACTACAAAACAGTCTTGGTATTTTGGGCGCAGAGGCATTCCTAGCGTATGGCCAACACAGATTTGTGAGAAGAGCAGCCACTGGTTAGTTGAAATGCCTCGCACTAATCAGGGTTTGTCGAGGAAGTGGAAGGTCCTCTCTTGGGGTTTCCAATCTATTTGATAGTACAACTGCGTGTCTTCATTTACTTGCACATTTAGCGCCCTGGGCATACGTGGAGAGAATTGGTGGCGTTTACTATCAGTAAATATAACGAATAGTTGACAGCTGAAAGTTATCTTCATGTAATCAAATTAAGGATAATATAGCCTAGTTATTCAGTGCGGTTATACTGCTCAGCGGCAAAGTGATTTCTGCAAACGTGAAGGCCACTGTATTACACACACAACTGCAGAAAAACGATTTTTCAAGTGTGGCTCTTGCAAGAAACGGGTTGTGGTCTTCAGCATGATGCCTACTAAACCATGCAAGGTAGGCCAACTTGAATTTACTACAAATAACGATATTCGTACCAGTTTTCTTATTTCTCCGTTCAGTATCTTTCACTTGTAAATGTTAGATTGTCGTAAAAGTCTGCGCATTTTTCATTTTTTTTTGAATTTGTTTCTCTTCCCATTGTCAACAATTAGCAAATACATACATGCCCCACCATTATCGCCATATCACCTCTTAGTAAATGCTTGTGAATGTTTTTTGATTGGAAATTCCTGACCTTTTGAGGCGAAGAACTCAAAGAAACCCCGCAGTAGTAAGTCCGGATCACCAGACTTCCCCTCTTTCAGTTGATTCAACAGCAACAGAAGCCGAGGGTGGTTCGTTGGAGCCAGTTCTGCTGAACACACCTGACGGATCGGATCGCCCATGAGGAGTTGGGAGACCTTTGCTTCACCTTGTTCGTAATTCTTGGATGAGCGTTGCCGTGATAAGCTACACTTTGCCTTGTTTTTCGAGCACAGTGCCGGAGAGCCCATCCACTTGCCCTTGTTCAGCATCAGCAGTGGAGTTAATTGGTACATAATGGCTCTCATCGACGAAACGTGTGCAACTGCACCAACGCTGAAAGTTGCCTCCTACGTTGCAGTGCTGTGATCGGCGTTGGAATCCTTTGTTCTACGCGTGCAAGTAAGCGATGCTTCTGCATATGATTCACGTGAAGACCTCACTTCTTGTCATCACCAACAAAATTGTCGGCTCAAATGAGATACAGGTGCTCGATCAAAATGTTCATGCTTCAATTTTCTGCCATCAAAGGTAGTGGTTAGTCCGATTACGAATATCCTTTCGCCCATAATTCCACCTCTCCTCGAGGCGAAATTGCTGGAAAAAAATGTGGTGCTCATAACAAGCTCTGAAAATTCCCGTGATACCGGGGTCTGCCTCCAATCCACTTCAGAATACTTTATTCATTCAGTGCAGCAGGAGAACTAGATTTGTTCTCTTCTTTGAAGTAGATAGTCATTGGCAACCAAAAATGGCAGTTGAGTTGTAAAGGAAGTTGTGAAGGACGATCCGGAGATACATCGCAACAATCATGTTTCTTGGCCGCCTCGGCTTCATATCAACATAGTAGTTAGGCTCAGATGTGAATGGCTCAGAACGTTGGGTTATGGTTCTTGATCCCATTCACGTGTAAAAGTTCTGTGCTGTACGATAGTCTGGTCCTGGACTTATGCAAAACAGAGAGCAGCGCACATACCTTAATTGAAGTTTCGATTTGTTCAGGCGTTTGCTGCCTTGTAAACTGCTATTTCCAGAATGCAAGAGCACTGGCCTGCTCGATCACAGACGTTTTACAGTGGATGGTTCAGAACCATTTCCAAAGATTTGGTGAGGTAAAGTAGTAAATGCGCAAGGAATTTTTCGACAACCTGATAATATTATAATATTCAACCTCAATTTTAGCCTGCATTTCTATGAATCATTTCAGCACTGTGATGCAAACGAATGGATTCGGGTGGCAATGAAAGACGAAAGAAAGGTTCAGCTAGAAAATGAGAAGCTGGCTGTTCGAGGCGAGGAACGAAAGTTTGTAAACAGTTGACATGTTTTTCAAGTTGTGCAACTCAAACTATGGGATGTTGCCTTGTTGAGATGTTGTAATATTTTTCTTCACTTGCATTATCAAACGGTCAGGAAATTTCTCGCCAGGAATACGTGTCTATCTCATTTATAACTGCCTTTTCGTTTTTATCATTTTTGTGAGTCTTCCAGAACGAAGCATTCCGATGTCAGGTTGCTAGTTTTGTAATGATTAACATTCTCATTGTCTTGTGAATAATTGAACCGAAGAGACTCAATTTATAATAAATCGCATGTTTGTAAGGATCTGTAATCTGTGGAGGATTTTCATCGATTTACACTCAGCTTACTGCCTGCCGACTTAAAGGCATGGGTTGCGACTTGCCTTCAGGGTAGTTTCTTTTCGTAAAAGAGGTAAGATCCCTGAGTGCAGAAATTGTGGCGCTGTCGCTACTCTAGGAAGTATACGACAAGGGATTAAGGGGCTTGTCTTGATCGAACCGCTGCCATATTTAAACGTCCGTGTTATATGCGTGTCTGCGTCCTCTCATGAAACATTTTCCCGAGCATATTATCTCTGCTCACCGCGCTACGCCTGTCTGCAGTATCACAGTCGACATTGAAAGAAAAATACGTTCTTATTCGACTATTTTCCGTGATTCCCTTGGTTATTTTTTCTCGTGGTCCTCTTCGCAGCTTCTGTTTCATTTTCGAGTGGGAAAGTATCCTGATTCAATCACGACCCGGGCCTTCAAAATGGGGAATACGGTAGAGGTAAGGCTATGCGAAGTTGTGCTAATTTCTCTGGCGCTCTCTATGTTTCGCTTCTTTTTACGCAAATACTACATATTGATGCTATCAATGCATTTGAAAGTTTGAGTAAGCGTTCAATTTCTTCGCGAACAGCAAGTGTGGTCACATTCGCGAACACAGAAATACCACACGCAGCAACCAAGACATCTTTGGAACCTCCATATCACTACCGTATAATGCTCGACGTTGAAAGTTTGGGGTCTATTCCAGTTAGGGGGCATCATGATGCAGTTTCTCGGCGAACTAGTGTGAACTCGAACATTCCAGCTTTTCACGCATGTCAAGTGACTGCCCTCACCCCCACCCCCTAGACTGGCTACACTCCCCTGGCTCGGAGTTACCCTAGCTTTCTGGAAAAACTGCATCATGATGCCCCCTAACTGGAATAGACCCAAGGTTTGTTTACGACAAACCATGACCAAATGTTTGCTGGTCGCTTATTTGTTTGATTACCAAGACGACGTCTGGTTAGGTTGTACGCTTTGATTCAAAGACAAAGCCCCACCACGCCTTAATCACTCTGGGGCAATCGCTTATATGTTCAAAACAGACAATGAAAGTACCTTACCGTTCGCTTCACAACAATCGTCAATCTTCCGTAATCATATAGACGTTAAATGAGGTGCTTTGCAGTCGGCTACGAACCGTATACCCTATTCCACGAGAAATGGAGTAATTATCGTTTTTTGTTGAACGAACATATTTCATTGCTTGGAGCATTTGTCTCGTATGATTGTGAAATAAACCAGTTAGGTTCAACGATGGTGAACCGTGTTCTACACCGTCGCTTGAATGTTTCCTTCCCTACTAGGGCCGGATTGGTGTTTTATGGACTTGCGTTTTTATGAATGAATCACAATTTATTGATTGTGAACGACTTCAAACAACAATTTGATGGCACCGCTTTACGTTTACTGGATGAGTCCTTCGTTTTGTCTTCTAGGTGAAAAAAGCACGCCCACCTTGCTTGCACTAATCTTTTTCCAATTGGCGACCCTCGCCATAGACATGCGATGCTAGTACTTGCTCGTCAGATGGGCCGTTATAAAAACTAAAAGGGACGAAGCGGTTTCGTTCTCTCTTTGGGTTGTTCCACGCAGTCCATGAAGCTGATTCAAAAGTAAGCACCGATCTTACCTCAATTTTCAAAATTTCTCTGCTTTTTTTGGAACCACCTTTATGAATGTGTCCATTGCTCAGCACAGACCTGCCTCCATACCGCCTCTCATCTACCCGCTGATTGCATCCCCCCCTCCCCCAGAAATAGCACTGTCGCTTCGAATATTTAATGGACGTCTGTTTCGCGTTTATCCGTATCCTTCATTTTATCATTCCAATACGGCAAGATGTCGGTCAGACTCTGCCGATTGCATCGCGCGATGCAACGCGTCGAGCCGAACTGCATCTGCGATCAATTCAGAACGTCTGGCGACATCCCAATAAACAAGCGCTACAACTGGTGGTTGGCTGGTATACCATCTCCGTCTTATGAAAAGCGGGCGAGAACAATGGAGCCAAGATTTGGTGTAGTATTCTAGCAGTCGTTCCTTACATTTGGGTTGCGAGTTACCGCGCAGTGGGAGACTTCATCTATTGAAAGTCACAGGTTTGTGATTCATTCAAGCATAGTCCTAACACAGGTGCACAGTCGGTGTCTGCGGAGCGGGTGTGGTTCATTAGGACAGAAAGCGACTTTTTCGCGTTTCGCAGCGCGAAACATTTTCCGCTGCGGGAACCTCAGGTCCACCGGTGATCGTCAGTGGACCCGACCGTTCCCGCAGCGAACAAAGAGTGGACACGCGAGATTCCCGCAACGAACAATTCGCCCTGCGAAACGCGAAAAGTCGCTTTCTTTCCTAGGGTATTCAATCCTTCCCCCAGGGGATATATCCCCCTCCTCTGATTCAATCCTCTGGGGGGACAAAAAAGGGTTGCGTCATAGGACCTAGCATACCTCTGTGTTTCTACCTGCCAGACAGTTAGAGCAGCGCTACTACCCTCCACTGATGAAGCACTCTTTCCCCTGAGGGGTCGCGCTGCTCTAACTGTCTGGCAGGTAGAAACACAGAGGTATGCTAGGTCCTATGACGCAACCCTTTTTTGTCCCCCCAGAGGATTGAATCAGAGTAGGGGGATATATCCCCTGGGGGAAGGATTGAATACCGCCCCAGGTGACAAACACTCTGCGCGAGAGCGCTGACGGTAACCCGTAAGGCCGGACGCATAGTCGGTCGGACGACAGCAACGACTGCAAGTGTCGCACAGCATTGGGTGCGTATCGATCTGCGACACCTGCGGTCGTTGCTGTCGTCCGACCGCTGCTGTCGGACGACAGCAACGACCGCAGGTGGCCGGACGCATAGTCGGTCGGACGACAGCAACGACCGCAAGGTGTCGCATAAACCGCGGTTCGCAAATGGAAGGCGACGCGGTCACCCAATGCTAACCCAGACAACACGTGACTGCGCGTGATCGTATTTCGAAAGTCCCACTGTAGTGTGGAATAGTAGCTGCGCATTCTGCCGACACTTGCGGTCGTTGCTGTCGTCCGACAGCAGCAGTCGGACGACAGCAACGACTGCAAGTGTCGCAGATCGATACGCACCCAATAACTGTTGGGCGACACTCAGTCGTCTGAGCTGTCGTTGCTGTCGGACGACAGCAACGACCGCAGGTGTCGCATAAACCGCGGGTTGCAAATGGAAGGCGACGCGGTAAGTGTCGTAGATCAATACGCAGCTACTATTCCACACTACAGTGGGACTTTCGAAATACGATCACGCGCAGTCACGTGTTGTCTGGGTTAGCATTGGGTGACCGCGTCGCCTTCCATTTGCGACCGCGGTTTATGCGACACCTGCAGTCGTTGCTGTCGTCCGACAGCAGCAGTCGTTGCTGTCGTCCGACCGACTATGCGTCCGGCCTAAGGTCGACGGACTG